CCACCCCCACACACACACCCCGTATCATATTTTCCTCAAGGCCTTGTTCACTTTGTTCCCTTCGCCACAGTTTCCAATTGTCTAAATTCAATCCATCCTCTTTCTGATTTTAAAACTCTAAGTAAATATTTAAAACGAAGCCCATGGTTCACAAAACCCAGAGCAGTCCCAAGCCCACCAACTGAGAGTCTGCTCCGCCCACCAGAAGTACCATCTCCCTGTTCTAACTGCCTCCTCCCTCTGGCCTAATTAACCACTGGAAGTGAGAAAGGCACAGAATGAATCACAAGGAGTCAGGCCATCTGGGAGGAGGCCAGACCCCCTAAGGATGGTGAAGTTTTGTCCCTGTTTACTTGTTTAAAATAACAAATGGAAGCAAAATACAGTACTAACTGGACTTGATTTACAGTGCTTCCTCTCTGAGAACTTCAAAAGTAATCTGACACATGGACTGGCTGCATGGCCGGATCCACACTGGTCAAATGAAAGTTGTGCCACCCTGCCCCACGGAGGCCCTATAGGCCAAAGGACAGGACCATATGATGGGTCTTTTTTTTTTTAAGATTTTATTGGGGAATTGGGGGAGGGGAACAGAGTTGAGGAATCGGGGAAGGGGAACAGACAAGTTGCTGTCCTTTTGTTTTTCACTCTAGTTGCGGAGGACGTCGCCTCACTGGCCCATGTTGATATTATCATTGCGCTCTTCCCGGGTGAGGCAATTGGTTGCCTGCCACTGGACGGCTGCTCACAGTGGCTCATGGCAGCTCATGCCAGCTGCCGGCCGCTCACACTGGCTGCCAGCCACTCACAGTAACTCAGGCAGTCACTGCAGCCTACGCTGTTGCTAGGGACTCACGGCAGCCCAGCTTCAGATCGAGCTGTTGCTCACCATCTTAGCTGTAGAGGGCAGTGTCACTGGCCCTCATGTGGGATTCAACCCAGGGCCCTGCTGCTCAGAGGGGGCACTCCCAAGCCAACTCTTAACCAACATGCCACTTGGCTGGCATGATGGGTCTTTTTTAAGCAAAGCACATCATCACACAACAGTATGCAAGTTCATCTGTTATCACTGTGATAATGTCTTTGGCCATGGACAATGGTCTTTTTCCACCCAAGTACTTCAAAGAAAACCTGTTGCAGAGGTGTTATCATCATGATATAATGGCCCCTGTAAGTTCAGCTATTATTAAGCTATAAATGACTTTATCTGAGGTTCTTGGGGTCTTTGGGGAAAAGGGCTACCTAAATAAAATAAATATTTTCTTTTATGCAAAATAAACTATAGTGAAGTTGAAATTTTTAAATGGTAAGTGGATAAAGCACTGCTCTTTTAAGGTTTTTAAAATGCAATTTAGAGAAAACTATACTTATGGGATATTTGGGGGATCATGTTCTTATTGGCCTCGGTTTGTCAATACCTTTGTCTTTGCAGCTTCACATAACATTCTCTAGTCAGAGACCATCTCATAAAAGTAACTGTAAGCATATGCTTGTCCCCCCCTTCACATGCCATACACTTTGTGTCTGCAAGTAGAGAGCAAATAGCTCTCTTTACAACCATCTGGCAAATGAGTTAAGGACAGTGGGCACAGCAAATGTAATTCACATTACCTGCTGCAAAGCCCTCTGGGAAAACATGACTAAATTACAACCTTAAAAACTGCCAACATGGTGTGGAGAATATTTTCAGGTGGAATTTCTGAAAATCAATCCAAATTGCTTCTTACCAAAACTTGACACACGTAAGGTGAGAGGGTGATTGTGTGCATGGAAAGGGTGAGGGCAACAGGGTGAGGGAGGGGAGAACTGAAATTAAAAATTAGTAGTATTGGTAAAAACTACTAGTATATAGTAGTATATAGACGATGTGCTTCAAGTCACTGATGTAATGACCCTGTCAAGAATGTGGAATAGGGCCACAAGTAATAATTACCCTAATTCTTTAAAAGGGCTTCTCGCCAGGCTACCCAACCATCCTAGACTCTGGTATTTGTCTAGAGCTTTATGAGAAACTAATTCTCCCTTCCTGATCAGAGAATAACACCAATTGTGGCATCATCAGGGAAGCATTTATAAACTATGTAATAAAATTGCAAGGGAATAAAATCACATTTAATGAGAATTTTAAACTTCTAAAAACGTCAGCATGGACTTCTTGTGGCCATAAAGGGGTGTGGGGAGGAGGAGGGTGTGAAAGCTGGGCCAGGAGACGCTCAATGTCACTAACATTCCCTTTTCTCTCCCTGGACCTAAGCATTTGACAATATAGAAGAGCCTGAAAACTCCAGGTTGGACATTGCTTCCAAGGGACTAAAGTGTGGCTTCAAAGTGAAATTTCAGAGAGTCAGTTAAAACCAGAAAGTTAAAACCAGTTCCCGCCATCATCCCCAACCCAGAGCTTGCCGCACTGCTCCCTGCTCACAGCCTCTCTGCCTCACTCCACTCTGACGTGGCAAAAACGTCCAGCCCTACAGAGACCAAGCGGTGCATCGAGTCTCTGATTGCTCTTTTCCAGAATCATGCTTGAAAGGATGGTAACAAGTGCAATCTCTCCAGGACTGAGCTCCTAAACTTCACGAACACAGGACGGGCTGCCTTCACAAAGAACCAGAAAGACCCTGGTGTCCCCAACCACATGATGAGGGAACTGGACCACAAGTGTGATATCAGGGCAGCTAGATTTCCAGGAATTTCTTCACCTGATTGGCAGCGTGCCATGTCCCCGAATTGTATCTGCGGAGTCCGTGGAGCCCCCACCCCTTTCCTTCCAGCCTCCTAGTCATCATCTCACAGACCACACAGACCCTGAGCCCCCACCACCCCTTGCAGGCCACTCCCACTGGTAGCAAGAAAACATTATCATTTTTTAACACACACACACACACACACACACACACACGTTAAAACCATACCTTTTCCCATTACAATCAGAACAAGATTTTTGATCAGGGCACCCTGAACACCCGGAGGCCTCTGAATCCATGAGGTGTGCCTCTGACGATACACAGATTGAAACTACTGGAACCTGGACATTCAGGGCCATGGGTGAGATGTGGCACAAAGAAAACACTGGGATAACCATTTCTCCTTCTCCTCAAGCTCTCTGGTTTGCCGTGTACCTTTGCCACAGCATCACTTCGTTTCATGCCACGCACACAGACAGCTGAGAGATCGAGACCGAGCTCTGCCCACATACGAGCGTCTCGATGGGAAGCAGGTGGCTGCATAACACAAGCTGAGCGCCGGGTGGCAGCACGTCCTGTAGCAGCTGTGCTCTTGTCCAGCCCCAAACACCCTCCCGCTTCCTGCATTCTCCCTGGCACTTTCAACTTCCTGTTCAGTTCCTTGTTAAAACGATTTTGTAGTTTGTACTTTGCTGGCAGGTACTCTGTTAAATAAATGGCATATTCTGTTCGATGAACAGTTCAATTCGAGAATGTAGGATAATAGCTTTAAGATTCTATAGAATGAGTTAGCTATATTTTAATAATAGTCTTTTTAAAAGGTTCTATAGAATTATAGAAATAACATACTCTGAAATACATTTTCCATATAAACTGTCACACTTCTGTGGTGTTACCTGGACCAGGGCTTCATAAGTGTACACCCAGACCTGTGCCATCTGCTGCTCAGTAGCTGTCCCCACTCAATCTGCCCTCCGAGCCGCTGCCTGGTTAACCTCCCAAAGGCACTGCTTTCATCGTTCATTTACGACGACTGGGATGCTAGAACTTTCACCGACACTTGTCTAGGTGCTTAGGTTGTCTGAGCCAAGGAAAATAAATATTAAAAAGCTGCTTCTCCTCCTCTAAACTGCAAACAGCATAGAAACTACCTGTTTAATTATTTTATGAATGTGCAACTAGACCAGAGAAAGCGTTTTCTTCAGCACCTTATCTGTAATGCAGAAAAAAAATACTGGGTTTTGAAATCCGCAGACACGGAAGTAGCTGTTGAACCATCCCACACTTTCCAAAGCCATCCTTTGTACTAGAATCTTACCTGTCTAATCTTCTACTCATTTTATTATATAGATTTTGTTCTTAAAGTGACACTGTATGAGAATGCCAGCTAAGCAAGAAGGAACTATTTAATATCAAGAATAAAGGCTGGGTCACAAAACACTCCATGATCTACATACAGCAACCGAGGGTTGTAAAGCATATCGCATCCCCCAAATCACAAAAGTGCCGCCATTAAGTACTTGAAACAAGAAGCCACATAAACTGTTACCCTCCCAGAGATGGAAGAAATATCACCATCATCATCTGCTGTGAGTGATGAGACCAACAGAAGACAATACTCATGTAAATAAATGGTACCTGGTTTTCTATGGCTTTCCTGTTCTTTGGGTCGCTCACCACGGACAGCTGTAATTCCGCCATCTTTTTCATCTTGCTGTCCATGTCTATCTTTTGAGCAAGGTTTTTGGTCTGGTTCTTCAGTAGCCGAACTGTGTCCTCTTTGCCATGCTTCTTTGCAAAAAGGGATGCACATGCCGAATGTATGGCAGTGACCCAGTTTTCCAGATCTGTCTGGCTTGTAGCCTAAACATAGAAAGGTTAAAAAAATCTATTTGGAATTGTTTTACCACAAAGTGCCCTCCAAAGTAGCAGGCTGGGCTTTGATGTGTAAAACCCAAGAAGTACCTTCACTTCATAAAAACTGTTTAATTTAAAAACACACACACAACCACTCAAGTCCACAGGCCTTCCTGACTTCAAAGGGTCTGCAAGAACCTTGAAAGCAGAGCAGAAGCCCCAGTCATACAGCCCCAAATATGACGGGAAGACACACTAGAATCAAGCTATAAGCAAACAACTGGGGAGTCATAAGAAACCAGGGTATGCCCACTCAGTGTTACGTTCTGTCGCTCTCTGAAAGGCAGCTCATTATAATTTTAAGAGAATGAGAAAATACTAAGACTAAAATGTTAAATTCTGAAAATAGGATAAGAAATTTTAGCTACACTAAGGACTCAATTATGAAAAATGTCAATGAAAGGCTATGGGGGGAAGTACACAATGAAATTAAAATAGTTGCCTTTGAAAATTGGAAACATGGATAGTGGTTTTTCTTTTTTTTTTAAGATTCTATTGGGGAATTGGGGGAGGGGAGCAGCATTGGGAAATCAGGGAAGGGGAACAGACAAGCCGCTGTCCTTTTGTTCTTCAGTCTAGTTGTGGAGGACGTCGCTTCACTGGCGCAAGTTGGCACCATCATTGTGCTCTTTCTGGGCGAGGCAGATCAGTCGCCAGCCATTGGACAGAGGCTCACGCCAACTGCCGGCCAGCCCCACTGCAGCCTATGCCGTCGCTGGCGACTCACAGCAGCCCAGCTCCAGGTCGAGCTGTTGTTCACCATCTTAGCTGTAGAGGGCGCAGTGTCACTGGCCCTCATGTCGNCCGTCGCTGGCGACTCACAGCAGCCCAGCTCCAGGTCGAGCTGTTGTTCACCATCTTAGCTGTAGAGGGCGCAGTGTCACTGGCCCTCATGTCGGATCCGAACTGGGGCCCTGCTGCTCAGAGCTGGCATCCCAAGCCAACTCCTAACCAACGCGCCACTTGGCCGGCCCTGGATAGTGGTTTTTCATTCTCTACTCTTCAGGACCTTCAGACACAGTGACCATATATTTTCATGGAAGGAAAATATTTTCTTTTGAAAACAATAAAGAAAGTCTGAATAAAGCAGGATGGGCAGAGATGTGTGGATCTAAGCAGGCTGAAAAGCAGCTCCAGTTTCCTGATGTCCAGAAACAACCACATGTATTCTAGCCACAGGGTCGATCTCCAGTGCTCTCTGGGGTCACACAATCGGAACTACTGAGACAGTTTCTTAAAACTAAGGCTATTTTTGCCTGAATCACAAAATAAAACATTCATTTCACACTTGCCCCTAAGAAGTCCATGCAAATTTAATCTATTTACTTCCCCTACCATTCAGATTAACACCAATTCATTACTTCGCTTTAGAGTAACATGGAAGGTGTAAGCAACTTTTCTGTGAAGAGAAAAAAAGTCACACCTCAGGCCCTGACTCTTGTTAAGTCAAGTCTTTGAGGACAGCAGTTAAGCCCAGAGGCCCAATGCATTTGCCTGGTACTGATGATGGCAAATCCTGTTGTAGGGAACATGTCAGAGAATTCTCGATTCCCAGAGTCACTCCGTGGTTCTGCAGGGCTCCTGGGGGCAACCAGGACCAAGTTCATCAGACACCTGACCCCAGGACCTGTGAGGTTTTCCATGAACCTTCAGCAGCCCACCCTGTGCCCACATGCAGCACTGGATGTGGGCTAGAAAGCATTTCAGAAGCGCGCTTCACTTCCTGGCTCCCACCCCCAACTTTTTTGAGTTACTCAATGAGAAGAGTAATAATAGTTAGGTTAAAATAACAGTTAGTGTCTAGCACTTACCACATGCACACTGTTAAAAGCAACCCTAGAAGCTATGATTATCCCACCTGTTGAACGGTCCGAAGCTCAAAGAAGTTTGGTTCGTGCTCCAAGGCGACATAGGTACGCAACAACGGCACCGGGACTCACATCTAAGCCTGCCCCCGGTACTGCCGGCTCCGGCAGCACCGTGATGTGTGACTTCTCGGTTGCTACAAAGTTGCTAAAACTCCTAGCAGCAGACAAGCTGAATCTTAATGTCCTAAGACCATTTCCACTGGGAGCGAAGACCTTACAGCATTTGTCTGTGAGGGTTTCCTGAAAAACTGCTTCTTTCACTTCCCTGGGATTCTTGCGGAGAACCTAAACCTCGCCTCTCTCCATATTCTCTAGGCTTCGTTTAAACAGCCTCCACTCTGGAAATTTCAGACCTTGCACTGAAGTAGCTCATGATGACAGGGACCCCAAGGGCCACCAGGCACCCAGGAAATGCTCACCGTATGAACGGCCGGATCTGTGCTGGCCCTGTGGCGCCTGGCGGTTACACAGGCCAGTTCTCGTGGTTAAGCCCCAAGCCTAGGGAAGCTTTTGCTCCATTTATTTCATCACTAAGCTGCGCCCTTTAGTTCTGCTCCTTCTCCTCCCGATAGTAGGTAAGCCGTTGCCTCCACCCACATGTCGGAAGCTCAGCGGTACCTGGAAAAGGTAGACGTCTGCGAAGGAGTTGCTCAGGCAAAACACGTTTTCCTTCTTGGGGTGTTCTGGGACGGACTGCACGATGCTGTCCTCCGCAAACAGGGCGCAGCGGGGCACACTGCTCTGATCCAGAGAATTCTTCCCGTAGGTCTCGTAGAATAGCAGGGTGCACCCTGTGAAGAGAGAAGCAAAGCCAGGGCCCTGTCACCCATCCTGAGGATCTAGGACAGGAATGAGGAGGGAAGGGACAAATCTAAAAATAATAATAATTAATAATAATAATAACTAAATGAGACAACTATTTAATACAAAAGGAAATTCTGGTATCCGACATAGGTCTCGCTGTATTAGCATTAACTCGGGTGAAAATGAGACATTTTTGTACATGCACTATGGGTAGTAACAATACCAAGTGTTTGTTTATTGCTGCGTACGTCCCGTCAGGAACTCCTCTGCGTAATCCCCACGCACTGGCTCACTTAGTCCCCACAGCAGCCCCAGAAGGCAGGTGCGCTTATTAACCCATTTCACAGGTGTGAAACCTGAGACCACACCGCTTGTGCGGGTCCACAGCTGGCCCCAGGCCCTCTGGCCCCAGAGCCCCCATTCTTAAGCACAACACCACATTATTTAAGAGAGCTAAATGCAGGAGGCAGAAGAAAAGCCCATGTTCATTAACTAAAGACGCTTTTACATTTACAATATGTGGTAACACAAACTGAGTAGACCTGGGGAGCCATTTATAAGAAAGTATCCAGTTTATTCTCCAAATGCCATTTGAAATAATTTCAGTATATTTTTTTATCTCATCGTGATAGGAAATATGGCTGTCATCTTACTGATTTAGACTGAGAGAAAAATGAAATTAAATATCCCTGAATTTTAAAATAGTACTCTAAAAATGCTGCCACCTAGCATTGTAAGTATATAGCTTTCCCCTAATAAGCTAATAAAGTAGGTAGAAGTTATTATGGGTCTGCTTTGATAATTAGCTAGGAATGTCCTATAATTATTATAATTTAAAAAGCTCTTTCACTCTTGCCAATTTCATTTCTTCCTGTAAAAACAAATCTTAACATGGACATACACGTTTACATAATGGAACCCAGCACAGAAGCCGAGAGAAAAAGACTCCTGCCTGCCACTCAGCCTGCCCTCAGAAACAACATCCCCAGGACTGCCCTCTCTCCCTCCACGGTGCTTTACGATTTCAGGAGCAGTGAGCGATCTCTCTTCCCACAAACAAAACTCACCCAAATCAAGGCTGAGAGGAGCTCATAGAACATGGGAAGAGGTTTATGGCCAGAGCTGCTTCTGCAGAGCTGAGCCCATCTCTTCCTCTAGTCTCTGATGCACCAGAAACAATATCCCCGATCCTTCCATTGTGAAAGGCCTGTCTGACACTACAGCTGCATCTGTGACAAGCCATGACCTGGGAGCCCGAGGACCAGGGCAAAGGCGACACAGCACCACCAGCTATGCCCAAGTCCAAGTTCTTTCCAATGAATTGATGCCGACTTCCCCATTTTCTGCACATTGTGGTCCCAGCAGCCATGGTTTGAGCCCTTATATCCAGAGGACATGAACGCAGCATTGGGCTGATGCCAAGATAGTGCCAAACCTCATACCCGACCTATGGCAGAATGTAGCTCTAAAGTGGCAGCATGCAACCAAAACAGGACATGTTGTTTTAGAGCCAGGCCAGGATCTAAAACAATATGCAGACTTTTGTGGCTATTGAATTTAAAGAACAGAAGTCAATCGCAAATCTAGTATATCAAGGTAAACGTGACCTGCGTCTCTAATGCTGGGCGCTGAGGCTGATGGAAAGAGGCCACAACCATGTCCCCTGCACCCCCCAGGGTTGTGGCTGTCAGCACCACCAGTCCCCGCCAGGAGCTGCTGGTGGCCTCGAGGATTGACAGTGGGAGTTCTTGCCATGGTAGCAAAAAGAAAAAAGACTGGAATAGCAGTAGACATATAATAATAGAAGACGTACTATTAGTAGAAATAGGAGAGCAAATAGTCTCGGTCTTTGCTCAAACCCACCTTTTCGTTGACACCCTCTCAACCCACGCTCGTTCCCCCATTGCCCATTTCAGGCCTATCACAGAGCAAAATCACCAGCACCCTAAAATGACATATGGACCCATCTGTTGTGCTTTCTGAGGGATATCTTTAATGACCGTGCCAACCATTCTGTCCAGGAAGCCCCCCACAAACCACATGAAGATGCACTCATTGGGAAAGACACATAGAAAGCAGAATTATCCTTGTTAGAACTTATTACATTCTGCAAGCCCGAAAACACATTTGCGCCCTTAGTATACCTATCCATTCAATGTAGGGAGGCAGCCAGATGGCTTGCTAATAGCTACTCTCTTCAGAACACTGTTCGCAAGCTACGTACACAGATACTTCCAAGATCATGTTAAAATTCTGCATCAATTGTACGTGTGTATATAGACACATATGAGCATATATGTTTCCAACTAAGGTTAAACCAAATAGTTAAATTCACACATTACAACTTGGATTCTAAGCCAAGAAAGCTGAACTCAACATATTGAATTCCCAGAGGAAAGAGGTGTGGAAAGTCACACGGAAAAGGTTATGCTGGGGAAAAACATCTTTATCGCATACCTTTCCTTGGCTGCAAAGGAAACGAAAGAATGTACACGTGATAACATTCACACTCACAAAGCACCGTTCATCCATGGGTTTGGAGTGCTTTACTAGCAAGTACCGAGACAGCCAGACCCAGCCCCGGCCCAGGCAAGACTGCAGACCTTGTAATCATCCAAGACAACCCAAGACTGTCCCCGCCCCTGACGTCAGCAGCCAGAAGCTCCTGGTGTAGATTCCAGGACAGAAGACAGGACCCTGAAGGTGAGCATTTCCAATCTGAAGTGACACCTGCCTGGCTCTCCCCCAGGAGGCCTCCAACAGTCTGACTGTGTGCAAATGTCCCCAGGAGCAGGACACTCAGGAACGTACTGTCTTTCCACTTGCCCATGGTTCTGGTCGCTGTTGTTTTTGTTTGTTCGGGTATTTTTGCATTAATCCAGAATCAGCTTGTCGTCCATTAGCTCCCGCCTAACCTCTGGTGAACCAGACTAAATCCAATGACTCTTCCACAAGTTGCTTACTCTCACCCCAGTTCTCATTTCCTCCAGGCTAACTATTCCTAGGTCCTTATGCCATCCTCCAGATGGCATGGCTCTAAATCCCTCTGGCGTCACCTGCGGCCCTGCTTCTCACAGTAGGACATGGACACATGGATGGACACACACCACCACCATCACCACCGCCACCACCAGGCCACCACCTCCCTGGGGGTATGGACTGGGGATTTTCAAAGCCGTAAGACAGGAACAACTTCCTGAAGCATCAATTTTAACAAACGCATTTTACATTTAAAAAACTAGGTACATGACATATTACGGAGCAGAGTGCATCCATTCTCAGTATCACGCAAATAGGAAGCAGCTTCAGACTGTGATTCAGAAACAATTCCAGATGCTCACTTCCCTGAGGGGACATTTTCACTCTCCCCTCCAGGTAGAAATGCTTCGGGTAGAACCTTTTGGAGAATCATTTTGTTTACTAACAAGTCTCCTGCAGAATTGCCCCCAAGGAGAGAAAGGCTGGCTTTGAACAGGGCAGAGGAAGGAGAGAGGGATGGAGCTGCAGGCCACGTGACATGGCTAATGATTGATTAGCCAGGCGCCCCTTTTACTCTTTGAGAACACGTGTACTTTTATTTTAGCCTTAATCCCAGTGGAAACTCATTCAATGAATGGACTGTAAATCAAACCCCCCAAATCACCTTCACTTGTCATACTTTGCGGCCCCATCTCCCTATCCTGTACTCCAGCATTATTATCCAGCATAATATCCAACGTTATTAAACCTTAAAGCATAACGTATCCCTTCATAACTGTGTGTTGCTAGATTCAACCCAGTATTCCAACTTTCCAAATCCCTCCCATCATATAAGAACCGGCCTCCCCAGGATGCCGACACGAGGAAAGCTCTCTGCCTTTGTCAGCCGCCACCCAAATCCAGAGTCGGAGACGAGGAACAGCAGTCTGTGTGAGATGCTCGTCTTGGGTTTTCCAAACCCTCCAGTTGCTAGGGAACCGTGTCACTTAAAGAGGAAATGTTTTTGCAGGGGTGCCTTTCCCAGATGGGCTTATGGGTCATTACGAAACAACACCAGCACCCCAAGGCTGGGGCCGGGGGCCCACAAATTCTAAATAGAGGCAAAAAAAAAAAAAGCTGGACATGGGCACTGCGGAGGTCTCCAGGCCTTCCACACATCCGGTCCACAGACCTGAGTCCCATTACCCTTCCCCCCGTGATAAGGAAGGGTGTCACCCGATAATGAGGTTTGACTCCGAACACCACACTCAGTGCCTCTGACAAAGAGTCACAGGACTTTGTGCAGAAATGCCAGGGGCTGTGAGGTTGCTCTTACTGTTTCCATCTGCATAAATCAACACTGTGTTGCCTTAGAGCCTCCCTCTTCCTCGGGACATGTGAATCCCTTCAAATCTACGCACCCACCATGAGCAAGGCACTTCTAATTTTTAAATGGCAACGCTTGTGAGCAACTTTGGTCATCTTAGCCAATTCTTACCCCTAGTTCCTTGGCATTAAAAACAAAGCATTTTGTTTGTGACGATGACAATTAGACTCTCTTAGATCATAAAGGTGGGATGACACAAATCAAATAATGCAGATGAAATTCTTAGTGGCACACGCTGCACAGGATGCCTCTTTGGGGTTCCAAACATGTGCAGAATATGAAATTCAAGACCCACGTTGCAAATAACTACCTTTGCTTACTTTTGGGGGTTTCCCCCCACCCCAGATGCAGGGAAAGTATTAAAGAATGATACAGAAATACCTATAAAATAATAAGCCATGACTATTAAATCCAATCACGATTCACTGAATGGAATACTACATGTGACTATTAAGTACACCATAGTACACAGGTTTGAGAAAGGTGCGTAGTAAAGCATGCTGGAAGATTCTGTACCAACTCCCTTCACATTCACTCGAATTAACGCTGGACTCACTCACTAGTGTCTCCCAAGGAAGGGTACAGCGGAGGGGTGAACCCAGAGGCCCACAGTGAGCCGACAGTGCACTTACCTTTAAGTGTCACCCAGTACTGTCTCCACTTCCTCCGAGCCACCAGCTCCAGCTTCCTTTCCTTCTGCAAAGTGACAAGGGGTTTGAAGAAGAGCCACCCAGCTTTCCGGACCACCCCTTGCTCCTTTTCAAAGAGCAGGTCCAGTTGCTCCAAAGAGCTGAGGGACTCGCTGCTGGACTCAGCAGTTTCTGTAGACGTTTCTACGTTCTCCGTGTTGGTCCTGCTAATTTCCAACTCGCGCATGAAGTTTTCATAAATGTTCTGTCGGAGGGGATCGCTGCCAATCGCATGAGCTGATTCGCTCCTCTGGGACAGGAGCTGAGCTGAGCTCCCTGACCACAGGGAGGCAGACGCCTGGAAGGGCCCCTGCACGTCCGCATTCAGTCCATCTGAGCGGCTGTCAAAGTAGTCACTGCCCTCCTTGGACCTCGGCTCCTGTGACCAACACAGATGACCACCCATCAGAGGTTACGTAGATCCAAAGCATCCCTTCCCCGCCATGGTATGCGTATAATAATGCTCACCGCCAGGACTGCTGCCCCAAAGCAACAGTCCTTTAACAAAAGCGCATCTTGAATCATCAAGTCTCCAAACCAGAAAGAATTGGAGATCTAGTGCTGCCCAACCCAATTTATAGCCAGGAGAGTTGTTACTTCAAGATGTAAACACAAACACCGCCGACTCACCTAAATCTAACCTGTGCTTGACATCAAGAAATTAACTGGTATATTTAATACACATTAGTGAAGATTTCTAGACTGATGTTTCTCTGTGAACTGTGAATCTGTGTCTTCATGGAAAGAATCCAGGCCCTTGTAGTCTGTTTTCTCCTGGATCCTTTTAAACCTAATTTAGAAAATCACTAGTTGCAGGGTCACGGGGGCAAGGACAGGGGGACTCGGTGCTGATATGCGCCAACTTCTCTGCCTCTCCCCGTGCAGAGTAAACACAGCCTCTAGCTCCTCCTCCCCCCACCCCCGCCCAGGTCTAGACTTGGGGAGCGCTAGCATCTTATTTTCCCGCTTAGACAGTGAAAAGCATGCATCTGGGTGGGATTCCTTGTCCACAGAGCGTAGTGGCTAGTAACTATCACACTTTTTCAAAATTAACATTTTTTTACTTAATTTGGAAATCCCTTTCATAAAAAAAGTACACCATTCATTCATTCATTCATTCATTCATTCACATCCTTTTATTTGAACATCCTAGTTTATTCTAGGCACTGGGGATACCAAAGAGATGATTTTGAACTGTAACATTTCTTCCAATATAAAATCGGACATAAGCAGCTCAACATAAAACTAATATTGATATAGTAACGGCTACCCCTAGTTATTAGGACTACATGCCCTGAGTAGTGAGCTGGGCATAAACAGAGTTGAAAACATGAAGGTTTCTTATGCCTAGATTAGAAGTCTAGTCATTCAAGAAAAATAACTTCCATACAGGCCATTTATTGGTAAGTAGCAGTAACTACATTTTTCAGTAGTCAGTGAGCTTAACCTCTGACTCAAAAGATACTGACATTCCAAATTTAGAGCTTAGACTAAAGTAATTCTGCAGAGAGATGCTAAGCACACATCTACTCAGCTGCTATTGGGCTTTCAATTATATTTCCTTATCTGTTAAAATAAAAATGAGGCGAAACTGAGTCAAGAACCACTGACCAATGGCCTTATTTTGCATATTCCAATATGTGGAGGCATTTTATTTTCCAAAACTCCACCCAGAAAGCAAGGAGCAAAGTAGCAATGACTTGTTATCTTTTGGAGGAAAATCATCCACTGAAGAGTGTTTCCAAATACCCAGGGGTGATAAAAACTGAGCCCCAAACACAGCTATTACTAATGAAAATATTATTTTCTGCCCATGCTTACATGGTGTCCCATAGTCATATTTATTTATACACTGATGCTTATGCAAGAACAGAGCAAAGAAGCCAGCTGTGGTGAGTCACTTAGCCAGGAAGCTTTCAAAATAGCTTAAGACTTTTTTTTTTAATTGTCACTTTGTTATTCTTTAAAAACTCTTAGGAGGTGAAGCAATACTTTTAATTTAGCAAGTATTAACTCGATTGTAGCTATGAATATGACTCTCTGACTCAGAGCTCCCAAACTGCCTGTGATACTCAGCAGAAGCTAACATGGGGTGCTTCAAAACAAGCAAAACCCTGCCAGAGAAAGGCACTCAAATGCCACACTTAAACATGACCTGTAAACACTTCTGACACTGTTTCTCAGAAGAGAGAGACTTCAAGTTGTAGTGCTAACTTTTAAACGTTCAACTGTAGCAATGTAAGATGAAATTTCCTCCTTGAGAAATGGGAAAACATTACATTTTAGCATTTATAACGGATTCTTATACATCGACATGGTAACTTTCCCAGTCCCTAATAAATTTCTAAAGCTTTCTATCTATACTCCTAATAGCCAGTGACTAATTTTCAGGCTAATAGGAATGAATGAATGAACAAATGAATGAGTGAATGAATGTCCATAAACAGGCTCTCAACTGGCTTTCCTAATCACTGTGTTATGGGCATGAAACTAAGCCTCCATGTTACACACGTGAACTACACAGGCTGATTTCCATCTCCCCCCCAATCAGGTCATCATAAATGATAGATAATGTAACTTGTAGCAAAGAGTAGGGAGGGGCTCAAGAGATGTCTCTCAGCTACTCAGGAGCTAAAGGAATTTCTCACTTTGCAGGAAACAGTACCAATTTCACACCTTGCCGTTCTTCACATGCTGTTCTCCTTCACAACAGAGTAAGGACCACTGGTCCTCTGCAGAAATTACCTGTGACCATGCAGCCCTCAAAGGGCAGTGAAAGTATACAATTATGAGGGCCAGAAAGTCGGGGTTTCTGTCCTAAATCTCCCGTGCAGTAAACCCTGCAGTAGTTGTCAGTGCTGCCCCCCTAAGGCTCCTCCCCTACGGCACGTGGCAGGGTCATTTCCTACCCTCCACCACCCCTACTCCCCGTCCCCCTCCCCCGGAAGTTACTCATGGCCATGTGACTTGTTTTAGCGCTTTGGCCAATACATGTGAACAGAAGTGAACTATCACTTCTGAGTGGAAGCTGTAAGAGCCAACACATGGTTTTCTTTCTGCCTCGGCCACAGCGGCTGGCAGTGTTCCAGATGGTAACTGCTCTGTGAACTGGGGGTCCTAGAGAGAGAGACAATGTAGACCAGAGTCGCAGAATGAGTGAGACATCAGCTTGGCTTGTGCTCAATAAACCTCAGAGGTTTGAGGGCTCCTGTTCCCTAGGCATAACCAGCCTGCCCTGACTGACGGGCCTGGAAGTTTACCCAGGATGGGAGCAAAGGGCTCATCAGTCTCGGGCAGCTACGCCAATACAAAGGGCCTATCAGCCTCACACACATTCTCCTCCCCAGCACATGCTCGTGTGCCCACCCCCACAGCCCTCTCTCTCTCGTTAGCATGATTTTCTTTTTCAGTTGTGTACATTTTTTCACTGACTCATCTGCTTTCAGGCTCCTACTCACCAGGGTGGTAGAAAGCCCTGTAAAGAAAGGGTGGCTCTTTTCCCATCACTTTTTTTAAAAGTCAAAACAAGTATGTCTATCCATCATGGTAAGACTTTCTGAACCTTAGCCTCTGTGGCCTACAGGAGAGTTTCTGTGTACGCGAATGCACATTTGTTCAGTGCCTTTTTATAGTACTGTATATTGTCACAAACTTTGCTCCCAAGTGCTGACTACATTTTTAAGGATCTAAACCTGGTCCTTACATTAAATTGTGCAAGAAAAACAAAGGCATGGCCAACAGAAGTGGCACTGCCCAGAAATCTCATCTTTTTTTTTTTTTTTGTAGAGGATCAGTTTGCTTTTGTAGAGGATCAGTTATAGGAACACAAGCAAAACTGAAAAACTGCCTTCATAAGCCACTTTTTAAAAATCGAAAATAGTTTATCATCTTAATATTCAATGACACCAAGGTAATTACTAGTGGCTATCAATAATACCTTGGTCATGTGGCTAAGTGGAAAAAGCACACGTTTGAGATTTAGCAGAAGTGGTTTTGGCCAGGGTTTCTCCACAAACTAGCCATGTATCTTCAGGGAGGACCCTCTAACTCCTTGCACCTTATGTCTCCTTTTTTTTTTTTTTATTGGAGACATGGTCATTGGTTACACATTGCTTTCATGCTACAATGGCATAGTTGACTCTTTTAGAGAAGGCGCAGCTCACAGTGGCCCATGCAGGGATCGAACCGGCAACCTTGGTGTTATCAGCACCGCTCTCTAACCAACTGAGCTAACCAGTGTCTTCATTTTAAATGACGGGGAGTCCTTTCTAGCTTTTATATTCAGATTCTTTGCTTCTAACCAGTCTGTCCTTAACCCCACAGGCTGACGAAGCCTTCAGAATTAAGTCTTTGGATGACATAGAATGGAAGGAGGCTCACTTCTCATGCGTGGGCTGGGCAGTGAGGACTTTACAGGACAGAGCGGGGTCAATAACACGGTGGCAACTGGTGTGCTTTTGAACTGAACTGACACTAAACGAGACTCAGTAGAGCTGGGTGTGAGCCAGGCCACAAATGTAGATGACAGAAACACTCTATGCAAATAAGAGACATGGGATAAAACTGGCTCAATGCCAGTATCCATTAGCGGTCTCAACAGATGACAGCTGAAGTTAAGTCAGCCATATAACACTGGACTCAAAGACATGAAAGTTGTCTGTGTGGAATTGCAGCCCCAGAGAAAGTAGGGGCGATTTCTCCGATTACTCTCAACCTCTGTTGGTTGTTTGGGAAATGGAAGTGGAGAGAAAAAGGTCAAAGAGATCTCTACTGTTTAGTGGCTCAGGCTGAAGAAGTGATGATGAAGGAGTAAGCAAATTACTGTATTCAGAGATAGGAAGAGTTCCCTAACAAGATGGTGATCATCTGTTCTTTATCTCCGAATAAAGAAGGAAAAAGGGCAACCAAGTACAATATTGGCCGGTGGGGGGAGGGGGGGAGTCATATACCTAACATAAGAAGGAAGTGACAGCAAATGTTATAGATCTGAAACAATCTATTCAGGGAGGTGATATTATTTTCTACCCCAAAACCTCTATGAAATTTTATAATTAAATATCTGTGTAGGAAGGTTAAAATGTAATTCTACTACAGACTAATTTCCTACCAAATTCCCTTCAACAATATGTCTTATTTTGAGTAAAAAAAAGGGGGGGGGCAACCAGTTAGCTCAGTTGGTTAAAGCACAGTGCTCATAACACCAAGGTTGCCAGTTCGATCCCCACATGGACCACTGAGACGCGCCCTCCACAGCTAGATTGAAACAACTACTTGACTTGGAGCTGATGGGTCCTGGAAAAACACACTGTTCCCTAATAAAAAAAGCAAGCAAGCAAGAAAGAAACACATTCTCCTATAAATAATTAAAAGTAAAACCAAAACAAAAAATAACAACAACCAACTGAAAACCTAGCAATTGCTACTAGTTACCTAAAAAGGCAAATTGTTACTTTCTTTCTCCGTAGTAAAACCACATTGTTTCCCCAACTCAGACATTATACACCATTAAAAGTATTATTCTTATCATCATGATTCTTATTTTATCAGCATTAGCATATTTTCACTATTGCATGTTCTTAGATACCAGATGTTTTCAAAAGTTGGTTATCCCAATGAGGAGTTGGTGAGATTATACACATAGATAGATCAACTTTTTTTTTTTTTATGTACCAACTTAAGTAAAAATTTTAATTTTCCTGAAGTAATATCTATGGAGTTCGGTAAGGCTACACCTCCCAAAATAATAACAATCTCTCTCCCATCCTTTTTGTGCAGCCTTTAAGAATGAGCTCTGGCAAACTTCTCAGATAAGCAATTCACAGGGGACTGCCCTCCCAAGCAGTCCTTTCTAAGAACAGTGCGGTGAGGCCTCTTGGGTGAGGCCTGTGGAGTTCAAGAATACAAGAAGCACGACTTCACAGACTCAGAGAGACAAGTTGTGGGTGAAGCGTGCAAATGCGCAGCTGAAGCAAAAGGAAAAAAAAAAAACAAAAAAACCAAAAAACCCCACACCTCAGCCAGGATTGTGCCAGGTCTTAGGCTCAATGAAACCTCAGGGCCACGTTCTAGGGCAGCGCCTGCTAACACTCCCATTCCACAGACTGGAAAACGGAAGGCACCTTTCCTGACGCTCGCAGGCTGACTCACCTGCAGCTTCCTTTTCTTTCGGGAGAGGCTTCCCGTCCAGTCACTGATGCGACGCATTCTGGCTTTCAGGGTGTCCTTCTTCGAAGTGTCCTCTGTCAAGGCTTTGGACTTTCTGCAGGGGAGTGTGAAGGATGCGTACTGGCCGGGGTCCCTGTGCCCCACTCTGGATGGCACATCGATATCGGAGGCGAAGGAGACGCGATGGCTGAGGTTGGCAGAGGTGCCAATGTACTCATCGGACAGTCGGATCCCGGAGGGGGGCAGACTCCCCAGGGGGGCATCTGGGTCGAGTTCCCGGAGCGAGGACAGGGACGAGCTTTGGTTGAAGGGCTTCGGGGCGGGCGTGGGAGGGAAGCCGGCGTGGAGGCTGGGGTCGGGCGAGCTGGGGGCGGGGAAGGGGCCCTCGGCCTCGCTGCCCTCGCCCGCGTGGCCCCAGGGCGAGTCGTACCAGGACGACTCGGAGCTCAGAGAGCTGCCCTTGCTGGAGCGCGGGCGCGAGCCGGGCGGGGACAGGCGCGGGCTGGGCGGCGAGTGGGCCCCCGGGCCCAGGGCGGGCGAGTACCGCAGCAGCCGCACCGGCCCGCCCGCGGCCTCCGGGGGCACCGTGCTGGGGCCGCCGCCGCTGTGGAACTCCACCCGGAGGCGCCCGTCCAGCTTCCCCAGCGTCTTGATGAGCACCCTGGGGCTCTTCCGGTCCTCGCCCGGCGGGGTGGAGGCCAGGCTCTCGCTTCTCCCATAGCAGTTGAGAAGGTGTCCATTGCAGTCCTTGGAGGCCGGGTGGTTTTCTGCCCGCTCGTGGGCAACACAGTGGAATCCGTTCTCGGGCGAGAAGGCAGCGTGGCTTCCCTGGCTATCACTCCCTGAGCCACTGGTCCTGTGCTTGGAGTAGGCATGGCCTTTGGACACCTTGCAGGTGGGTCCTCCCAGTCTCGAGGCGTAAGGCTGGTTGCTCTTAAAGTGAGAAAGGCAGCTCCGGGCCAGCGACCTGGACTTGTAACCCGCTCCGCTGCTTCCGTGGCCCCATCCGTGCAACGACTTGTCATCTTTTGCATGAATGCTCCGTATTTTCAGGGAGCAAGGCTTTTGCTTCGCACCGAGAATAGTATTGCTATGATTTTTAGATCCTTGAAAGGTGTACTGACTCTCGGAGTTCCCCATTTTACCCTAAATTTAAAGAACAGTAGCATCAGGAAGAGCCATGACCTAAATTACATTCCATTATAACAGAACTTTCTTTAAAAAAAAAAAAAATCTTCCATTTCAAAGGAACTGAGCAACTTCTTTCTGTGCCTGACATAACTCAGAGAAGTAGGAACAAGTGTGACTGAATTGCTTCTCCTCCTTGTGTAAGCAAGTCACTAGCCAGGTGGAATACATTGCTCACTCACGTGCTCGTTACTTTAAACCCAATTTGTTGTATGAACTTAATTCAGAAATTAAACTGGCATGAAAATCAGTCTAAGGCACAGAACTCTTTTTGGCTTGTGGTGTTGGGAGGTTTCAAATCATTAATTCTTGAATTAAAAACAAAAAGAGGGGAAAGTATCTTTATTCTCTCAGTTCAAATACATTGATTTTTCAATGACCAGAGAGATATATTTTCATTATACATACACTACTGGAAGAGCTAACTAACACTGCACACCAATATAAGAGATTATTGCTCAAAAAATGACCACATTTATAGTAACCTGACTCTAAGTACCACATTCTGTTGGAGCTTTCATATGCCACACAGAGTGGAAATATCACAGAAGGACTAGAAGTACTCAAAAACTAGATGGAAATTGAAAAGAGTGGGGGTAGGAGGGGAAGTTCTCATTTGGGGCAGAAAAACATTTTAATAAAACTAATCTCTAGAGCTTTAAAAGTCCTCACTTTAGAATATGATGAGAGAAAAAAGTTTGAAGCTGACGTGTGGGTATCAAAAAAAAAAGTGAGAATCTTTTAATTCCCTTTAAAACCCCAATTTGCACAATGAGCCTATTAGTTAAGCCAAACTCAAAGTGAGATTTGATCCAAACCCTCCCCCTATCAGGTTTAGCCAAGTTGGAGGTGATGCTTGCTGTTATGTTTCCAAATACATTCAGTAGGATTTTAATTTTCATTCTGTCATACCTAAGAATGGACAGCCACAAGACTCTAGAAGTCAAATGGATTGACTTTTCTTTGGTGGTAGTTATCAAACACATTTTAAAACAAAAATAACTGGACCCAAAATGACACCCTTTACTTATTACCTTAATCGCAGTCCTGCAACCTGACAGTGAACCACAACTCACGGGGCTGGATTTACCTGCAGTCGAGTTTGTGCTCTGAGGGAGATTAAAAGTCAGTCGGCTTTACGTGGCCCTGGGAGTAAGGCAGCATGGTTAACAAGGGTGGGAAGTGAGTCCATGAAGTGACCCTGGAAAACAGAAATATGAGAAACTCTGTCAAGCACTTTACATTAAGTTCCCACAAGAGTAGAAGCAAAGGTTTATGCAAATTACCTGAAGAAACGACTGGTGTCCAGAATCACTGTCAAAATAATAAGTAACATGTCTGTGAACTGCCTGACTCATCGGGGTTGTTTGGAAGATGTCAAGGAAGCCAGAACTGCCCATTCAATCTTGTAAAGGCCATTAACTCAACACACGGTCTGTAGTCAAAGGCTTGCCTTTGTTTCAGGGGCGAGCAGGTGAAAGCGCTGGAATGAGTCAGGGCTCATCTGTCACCACTCCTGGGAAAACAGCTCTCAGACTCACCACACTGACATTGCCAGAGCATCATCCCAAGACGGCAAGAGCAGTTCATTGTTCTCCACTTGACTAAGCAATAAACACAAAACCCCGAATGCTGAAACACAGTGAGGTAGTCCTTGGCTAAAATAACTTATGTTACAGAAGTTAACCCCATAAAGGAGATGAAAGGTTTTCTTCAAGCACATGTTTGAGCCTCACTACACAAAGAGTAGGGGCAGGAGGCCCGCCTCTGAGGGGAAGAGGACAGGCTGGGGGTGCTGCCATCTGGCAGTGCTCTCTGCCGGGACACAAAGACTTCATTCTCCACAGGCCCATAGAGAGCAGAGCAGAGCAGTGAGGGCTCAAAAGAGACTTTTTTTCCTCCTAAAAAAAAAAAAATTATGAACAACTATATGCCAACTGGATAAACAAGGAGAAATGGAAAAATTCTTAGAAACATACAACTTACTAAGATTGAATCAGAAACTGAAAATCTAAATAGATGAATTACTAGTAAGGAGATTGAACCAGTAATTCAAAAATCTTCCACCAAAGGAAAGCTTGGGATCAGATAGCTTCACTAGTGAATTTTACCAAACATTTAAAGACAGGTGAACACCAATTCTTCTCAAACGCTTCCCAAAAAATTGAAGACAAGGGAACACTCCCAAACTCATTTTACAGTATTATCCTGATACCAAAACCAGAAAAAGGCACTACTAACTATAAAGAAAACTACAGCCAATATCCCTAGTGACTATAGATGTAAAAATTCTCAATGAAATACTAGCAAATTAAATTCATCAGCACATTAAAGGACCATACACCCTGACCAAGCAGAATTTGTCCCTGGGATGTAGGTATGTTTCAACATACACAAATCAATCAATGTGATACATCATGTTAATAGAATGAAAGAAAAAAAATCATATGATCATCTCAATAGACACAGAAAAAGCATTTGACAAAATTCAACATCCATTCATGATAAAAACTCAACAAATTAGACATAGAAGGAACATATCTCAACATAATAAAGGTCATATATGACAAGGCCACAGCTAACACCATGCTCAATGGTGAAAGATTGAAAGCTTGTCCTCTAAGATCAGAAACAAAAAAGGGTGCTGCATGCACCCCTCCTACTCAACATGTAGTGGAAGTCCTAGCTAGAGCAATCAGGCAAGAAAAAGGAATTAAATGTATCAGAATTGGAAAGGAAGAAGTAAAACTGTCTCTATTCACAGATGACATGATTTCATATATAGAAAATCCTAAAGACTCAACCAAAAAACTATCAGATTTAATCAACAAATTCAGTAAAGTTGCAGGATACAAAATTAACAAGCAAAAATCAGTAGCATTTGAATACACTAACAACAAATTTCCTGAAAAAGAAACAAATACATTTTATTCACAATAGCATCGAAAACAATAAAATAAACAGAAATAAGTTAACTAAGGAAATCAAAGAGCTCTACTCTGAAAACTACAAGACACTGATGAAGGATACTGATGAAGACTCAAATAAATGGAAAGATATCCTATGTTTATAGATTGGAAGACTTAATATTGTTAAAATATCAATACTACCAAAAGCTATCTGTAGATTCAATGCAATCCCTATCAAGATTCCAATGGCATTTTTTTAAAGAAGTAGAAAAATATTCCTATAACTTATACAGAACCACAAAAGACCCTGAATAGCCAAAGAAATACTGAGGAAAAAGAACAAAAAGGGAAGTGCCATACTTACTGGTTTCAAACTATAGTATAAAGCTATAGTCATCAAAACAGCATGGCACTGGCATAAAAGCAGACAAATTGACCAATGGAACAGAATTGAGAGCCTGAAAATGAACCTAAGCATATAAAGTCAACTAACATTTGACAAGGGAGCCAAGACTACTCGATGGCTAAAACATGCTCTTTTCAATAAAGGGTGCTGGGATAGTAGGATATTCACATGTGAAACAATAAAACTGGACCCATATCTTACACCACTCATAAAAATTAACTCAAAATGGATTAAAGACAAATATAAGACCTAAAATCATCAAATTCCTAGGAGAAAACATAGGAATAAAACTGCTTAACATGGGTCTTGGTATTGATTTTTTAGAGATGACACGTAAAGCACAAACAACAAAATAAAACACAAGTGGGACTATATCAAACTAAAAAACTTCTGGACAGCAAAAGAAACCACCAACAAAGTAAAAAAACAACCTACAGAAATAGTAAAAAATATTTGCAAACCATATATCAGATAAGGGGTTAATATCCAAAATATATGAAGAACTCATGCTGAGTTGTATAGCAAAAAAACAAATAACCCAATTTAAAATGAGCAAAGGGCATGAACAGACATCTCTCCAAAGGAGACATACAAAAGGCCAACATGTACATGAAAAGATGTTCAACATCACTCATCATTAGGGAAATGCAAATTAAAATCACAATGAGACATCACCTCACACCTATACTGGCATGGATGTGGAGAAAAGGGAACCCTCATGCCCTGTTGGTAGAATTGCAAATTGGTACAGCCACTATGGAAAATAGTATGAAGGTCCCTCAAAAAAATTAACAGTAGAACCACCATATGATCCAGCAATTCCACTTCTGGGAATATATCCAAACAAAATGAAAACACTAACCTGCACGGCCCTACTCACAGCAACATTATTATCAACAGCCAAGATGAGGAAACAACCTAAGTGTCCATTGATGGGTGAATGGATAAAGAAGTTGTGTTTGTGTTTGTGTGTGTGTGTGTGTGTGTGTGTGTGTTCAACACACAATGGAATGTTATTCACCAATAAAAATACAAGGAAATCCTACCATTTGTAACAACATGGATGGACCTCGAAGGCATTATGCTAAGTGAAGTAAGTCAGAGAGAGACAAATATTTATGAACTCACTTACACGTAGAATCTTAAAAGAAAAACCAAACTCACAGAAAAAGAGAGCAGATGTGTTACCAAGCATGGAGGGTGAGGGAGGGGATATTGAACTCAGGTGGTCAAAAGGTACCAACTTCCAGTTATGAGTAAGTACTAGGATGTAATGTACAATGTGATAACTACAGCTAATATTGTTGTATGATATGCAGGAAAGTTGAGAGAGGAAAATTCTAAGAGTTCTCATCACAAGGAGAAAATTTTTCCTCTTTTTCTTTTTCTTCCTTTTGTTTTTATTGCATCTATATGAGAAGTTGGATGTTAGCTGAACCTATTATGGTAACTATTTCACAATGCATGTACATCAAACCATCATGCTGTATGCTTTAAATTTATACAATGATGTATGTCAATAAAACTGGAAGGCAATTTATTTGTAATTGTGGTAAAACGCACATAAACTTTACCATCATGACCATTTTAAAGTGTACAGTTAGATGGTTGCTAGTTGGGAAGTAGGGTGGGGATGAGGGAGAAGGGGAAGGGGTTAGACAGCATAAATAGGTAACTACAATATTGCCACAGGGACATGAAAGACAGTTCGAGGAATATAATTAATAATGTTGTAAAAATTTTGTAGGGTGTCAGATGGTCACATGTCTTTCTAGGGAGACCACTTCATGGACAGGATAGAGGCTTGATCACTGCACTGTACATCTGAAGCTGATGTTGTATAATATTGTATGTCAACTATAATTGAATATGTATTATAGTCACGGGATGTGGAGTACAGTGTGGGAGTGGAGTCAAGGAAATTGTAATAGATATGTATGATATTGGGGGGGGAGTGGGACGGCGGATTGGGGGAGGGGGGTTGTCACTTGGAGGGGTAAAAGGTATAACTATTGCCCTGTTGTGCAGCTGAAACTAATTTTAAAAAAATGCTTATTTCACAATAAAAAAAAATAAAGTGTACAGTTAGTTAAGTACATTCGCACTGTAAGACAATCAACCTCCAGAACTCTTTTCATCTTGCAGGACTAAAGCTCTCTACCCATTAAACGAAAACTCCCCACCCCTTTCTCCCCAGCCCCTGGTAATCATAATTCTATTATACTTGCTGTCTCCCTGAATCTGACTACTCTAGGTACCTCATGTAGGTAGAATCATCCAGCATTTGTTTTTTTGTGACTGACTTATTTCACTCAGCATCATGTCTTCACGGTTCATCCACATTGTAGCATGTGTCAAAATTTTCTTCCTTTTCAAGGCTGAATCATATGCCATTGTATGTATACACCACATTTTGTTTATCTGTTTATCTGTCCAGGGACACTTAGATTGCTATCCACCTTTTGGTTACTGTGAAAAATGCTGCTATGAACACGGGTGTACAAATATTTCTTGGAGACCCTGTTTTCAATTCTTTGGGGTTTAGACCCAGAAGGAAGATTGCTGGATCATATGGTAATGCTATTTATAATTTTTTTAAAAAGATTTTATTGGGGAATTGGGGAAGGGGAACAACCAAGTTGTTGTCCTTCAATCTTAGTTGTGGAGGGTGCAGCTAGCTCAGCTCCAAGTCCAGTCGCCATCTGGCTGCCCGTCGACAGCTCATGGCCGCTCAGTTCAAGGTGCCGTGTTCAATCTTAGTTGCAGGTGGAGGTAGCCCACCCTCCCATGCGGGAGTTGAACTGGAAACCTTGTTGTTAGGAGCACATGTTCTCACCAGCTGAGCCATCCGGCTGCCTGTTGGTGGCTCAGCGGCAGCTCAGCTCTGGCGCAGCTCACTGGCCCATGCAGGAATCAAACCGGTGACCGTGTTGCTCAGAGCTTGTACTCTTAACCAACTGGGCCACTCGGCCGGCCCTATTTTTAATTTTTTGAGGACCCACCATACTGTTTCCCATAGCAGCTGCACCATTTCACATTCCCACAAACAGTTCCAATTCCTCTACTTCCTCACAAAAACTTGTTATTTTCTACAGGTATGAGATGATATCTTACTGTGGTTTTGATTTGCATTTCCCTAATGATTAGTGATATTGAACATCTTTTCATGGCCTACTAGCCTTTTGTGTAGCTGCTTTGGGGGTTTAACAGTGACTTTTAAAGTGAATGAAGCACTTGGCACAGGACCTAAGTTCCCCCAAAAAGGCCAAAGACACAAGTCTGCCTGAGATGATCCACATACACACACACATTTTAAATAAAAATTAAAAAAAAACCAATAACAAAAAACTGTCAGCTTTCCACTTAGGAATCAGCAGGAAATCTAATAGCTCATTTGAGTCTGCTAAGACTGAGGCCGGCAACAAACCAACGAGGCCTGAACCGGTGCCGGCTACTTAGATTTCAGTGGGCAGCTCTCACAAACCTCTAAAAGACAGAATAGTCACTGGCTGAGTTGCCACTAAAAAGTGGCCCCCATGACATCTCTGACAGCAGAGATGGAACACAGAACCCCAACTTTTAGAAGTTCAAAATCTGAATTGTCTGTCTTTTCTCAGCTACACATTTTAAACTTAGGGAACTAAAAGTGGACAGTAGCTCCTGGCCCCTGCCACTGAGACCCGTCACAATGAATTGATCAGAAGAAGATTTTGTGTCACTAACTTTCCTCAAGACCGAGGTCCAGCGACGGTGCTGAAGGTGAAGGGCTGTGGGCAGCTCCCTCAGCAGCCGCCCGCCTCCATCAGGCCCTTCTAACCTGAGGGTCACGTGCCCGTGCGCCGGTGTCAAGCTCTCCTCCACCAGCGGCACAAAGCTGCTATTGAGAGGCCCACGGGGTCAGCCCCTCCAGGACACACAAAGGCCGGATTCAAAGCCACAGGATGGCTCCCGGTTGGAAGCTTACGCTCCAGCGGCAGATTATAACCTAGACTCATTTTACTACTTTCAAAATTAAACAGCTTAATCTTTTTACTTCACGCCCTATTTCAAAAACCATAGTCCTGGGGCCTGTCCTTTGCGAGGCGCTGCCCACTCAAGCCCACATCTTTGGGGTTCACATAAGCATTTAATAAGCACCTGTTGACCTGAATGGAAGCAATTTCTCGTGTTAGGAGGCTGATTTGAGCACAGACTAAGCAGGAATCACTCCCAACTGGGTCTGCCTGCAAGATCAACGCATAAACCCAGAGGGAAACGTCTGGATAATTAACAGTGCTGCCTAGGGAAAAACAGGGGATACCAATGGGCACTGTTACACACGGGGGATGCTGACCAGCTGGTCCACATCGCTAGTCAATCCCGCAGAAGGAAAACAGCCTTACACTGCAGCAAGAAGAATGTACCCAATATTTACGAGGAATGTATTGACAGGAAGGGCCGTCTCCAAGGGAATCTGTGGGATTGCTGTTCCGGGGAATTTGGCAAATTGAACAGATATTTATCTGTCATGCTTCGGCTGTGATTTTTGTCTGGAAGCAAGAGAATGAATAGGTCAAATTTTCTGCACCCCTGACTCTGACTCCTTTACTAAGGGAATTTGATGGTATTCGAGTTAAAACATTTTTTTTGTTGATAGGGTGCTGAAAACATCGAAATAACAGATTTTCTGTGAGCTTTTTTTTTTTAAGAAATAGTTAAAAGTCCTCAGTGTCTTTAAGTAGAAAAATTAATATACAGTAGGTATACCAACCTGCAATAATAATACACATCAGGTATAGTAGCGGGCAGTGAGGCCCACAGCTGACGGAGGGATAATTTAAGTGAAGTCACTCTGGGATAAATTGTACAGTACCAAGACTGTGTATACTTAGTAAAAGCTAAGTATACTTAGTATACTGTATGCTGTGTATACACTTTTTATAATTATTGAATAATTGTAAAATATTAGAAGATTTAAAAATTGACCACAACCTCATGAACTTAAAAAAAAAAGAAATTTTTGTCTTTCATTTTCTTAATTCCCTTCCAAACCCCATTCATATGAATGTGCTCTGTAGCTCTCCCAGCTAAAATCATAAATAAGAATGGAAGGGTTTTTTTGTTTGTTTGTTTGTTTGTTTTTATTGTGATCAATGAACCATCCCAGAAACGCTCAGCAATGTGGAGGAATTTTTCAAATACGTCACCACCATCCCAGCTGCCACGGTGACCTACCAAATCCCAGAGCAAAACATCTTTCAGGAGGAAATTCAAGATTTACCTTTCTTCATTTGCCTTCAGCTTGCCTTGAGTGGACGTGTCAGGCTCCCAAAGTCTCCTCTTCCAGGGAGTGTAGAGTTTACAGCAAAGGGAACTAAAATCCTCCAGCACTGCTTTGTCTCCGGCCTTCAGCCAGCTGCCCAGATGGACCAACTACAGGGGAACAAGAGGCAACCCCTGGTGGGCCAGATGGTGTTGAGCTGAGGGCTGGGGGCTGACTGGTGACAGCAGAGCAGAACACAGGCATGGGGACACTGCACAAAAGCAGATTTATGGCCAGGAAAGGCAGTTCAGGGAGGCTCAGGTCCTACCACCACGAGATACCACCAAGGCCTCTAACATAATCCCAGAGTTTTATACTGAAATGGGAGCCTCATCATTGTCCGAGGCGAACATTTCAGACAGTGATAAAAGTGAAGAAAAAGATAAGACTAGGACGAACCATCATTAACCGTAACAATATTATCTACTAGGTTCCCTTTATTTGGGGCTGGGAGATTTGGGGGAGCTTCAGTCATTAAGGAGACAAACCTCAGAATCCTCATCTGGTTTGTGTCAGAGAATTTGGGTTTAAGAACTGCTTCTGTGTCTTAAATATCATGTGAGTCTTTGGGCAAATTACTTATACCTTCTAAATCTCATTTTCTCCATTTGCAACTTCGGGATAAAAATACCTGGCCTACCTATCATATATATAGATTAAGAATTAAATGAGAAAATACATGTAAAACCACCTAAAAACGATGAAATGCAAAACAAATTTACAGTATTATTAATTTTTATTTATAAATTTGATTTTATGTACTATATCAGAGCTTATAATAGTCTGCTATTATAATATATAAATTTTGTAATATATAAATTTGGAATTCTCCAAGTTCTACTGTTAGTACCTGTCAGATTTTGTTCAATTCCCCAAATTATTACAGCATATAAAACTACCTGTCAGCTATCTGTCAAATGCTAACGAAAACAACAACAGAGCCATGTACTTGTATCATTATTCATGTTAGAAAACATAAGAAAATAACCTAAATGCGCATTAAACAACTGGCATTCCCTTAACACACTTGTTCTCAACCATGGAAATCTGGGTCCCCAGGGGACATTTGGCATTATTTGTAACCATTTCTGGTTGTCACAACTGGGGTCATACTACTGGCATCTAGTGGGTAGAATCGGGGATGCTGTTAAACATCCTATAATCCACAAAACAACCCCCACAACAAATAATTATTTGACCTCATATATCAATAGTTTCAAGGCTGAGAAACCCTACTTTATAGTTTTATTGCCTGTCTCACTAAAAATTGCTAACATACAGAACAAATATGCCTAAAAACCTAAAACAAAAGCAAGCATTCAAGTCAGGGATCCAAACTTAACTAACAAACTCTGTAAATGTTACCCAAGTCTGCTTTGCTCCTCTTGCATCAGTGAACTGCCCTCAGGGTTCGTGAACTGAACACCCGAGCGCATTTCTAATCATAAGAAAACTTCAACCTGATTTGTATGAAGAGGCAGGCGAAAGGAACATCTGTTCTCCACAGGAATGGTGCTTAGGAAGAGTGATCCTTACCAAGTGGGCAGAAAGCGAGCTGCCGCCAGGGCCCGAGAAGCCCACAGCCACTGTGGAGCAGTGCCATTGGCTCTATTTCAGGCCAGCAGGGCTCCTTCCACACGTGTTAATGGACGAATGGATAAAGCAATGTGCAGCAAGGAATGCCCAGCACAGGATCTCAGGCAACAAGCATGGCTGGTATTCAAAGGAGGAACGTAATCAATTCCACAGAGACAATAGTCCAGTTTTCTGCACAGTTCACCACCTTAGTAAGCCAATTGATCACAAGCTGGGTCTCAGCACTCACACTTATTTTATAAAACATTCCAACATCTGCAGCATTGCTTATAGAAGTGTTTGTCAAACTGTGGGTCATGGCCCAATGTTGGGTCATGAAATTCACTTAATGACTTTATACCAATATTCTTAAATGAATAAAATAGGTTAGAATAGAGTAGAATAGAATAGAATAGAATAGAATAGAATAGAATAGAAGTGTATCCCAGTAAGGGTAAAAAAATATTTCATGACACTAAATTATTTTTTGTTCTTGCTCATTTGCCTGTGAAGTAAAATTACATCTTCTCAAGTAAATGGTCAGAGTTTGAAAAAAAAGTGACATACAACTGCAAGTGGCAGTTTCGTCAGAATGGCACATCCCTTCTAATAAGACCCAAGGACAACCAAAATCTAGAGAGTCTCAAAATATTTGAAAAACTCATTGCCCAAGGCAAATACTTCAGCTAGAGAGAAGAGGAATGGCAAACAGCAAGGACTGTCATCTCTAATGTGCAGCTCTGGGCACCACAAGTTAGGCTCATGGGCCTCACCCGTTCGCACGCTACTGCTTGAGAGAAACTTTCACTGGACAGTCATACAGTTCATATGAAAGTTAAAAATGACCCCAAAGAAAAGTTAACGGAAGAACTGAGTCATGAAGGATGCTGGGATTCTGCTCGATCAGGGGCCGGCACACTTTTGAGGCGGAAGAGCCAATCCTGTCCCTCACAACAATTTAAAAATTATTTGAGAGCCATAAAACAAATGAAATCACCATTATGTGAATAATGTCCTTTAAAAATTTTATAAATGAGACTATGATAGTTTTATTTTCATTTTCAATTTGACTTCAGAGCCCCATGTACGTCCCCAAAGAGCCGCGTGTGGCTCGCGAGCCACCATGTGCCGACCCCTGTGCTAGATGAAGAAAGGACCTTCCAAGGCACAGAAAACGGCATGAGCAAAGACACGGGCATCCCATGACCGCTTGCTGAATCCATAAATGACTGAATCAGCAAGTGAACTAAATGGAGAGACCCCTCCCCACACCTGTTCACGAATGTGATCAGGGCAGCGGGGTCTGAGCCCAAGTGTCAGGGACAGAGTTTAGAGAGATGAAGAGGAGGAGGTAAGAGGAGAAGACAGAGTGAGGGAGAGGAGGCTGGGGAAACCTGGACAGTCCTTCGCCCACAACTCCTCACACCCTCCCCCACTCCACTGTCCCCAAAAGCACTACAGTGTGAACCGTCTCCTAGAGACACTTGGGGGTATCACCTGGGAAGAAATGCCCAGTAATCAACAGCTCGGAGAGCAGTGTGGGGGCAGCATTGTCAAAAGGAGGAAAACACTCTCAGTGTCGGCGGAGACTTGGGGAACTGAAGTGAAGAGTTCCACTCACCAAGTCAACATGAATTTTTGGAGACCCTCCTATATATGTACCTGTGTGCCGGGCACTATGAAGGAAACACAAATGATGTATGAGTTGGTCCCTTCCCCAAAGGGAAGGGGGACCGATTATCAACACAAACCATTTGTAGAATCAATAAGCGAGTTTATGACTGAGTTTATGAGTGATGTGGTGAGACCAACAATCCCACAAGTATTACTGGTATGTTTCTGGAATGTCAGTGAGTGAGTTGAGAGGCCCAGCTACATCTGAGCTGTCACAGAAACTGCAAATCTCTCAGGATTGTTTTTTAATCACCTTTCAATCAAAATTACAGAATTAATACAGTCTAGAATTTTAAAATCCTGGTAAGATAAAACTTTTTTTCTTATTTCTCTTTTAGGGATTTTCAAAGTACGTTTCACACATGGCCACACTCTTTCTAGATGGATTTTTTTTTTAATATATCAAATGTTTAGCCCACTCCGCCTTTTCTCCCAACTCTACCTCCTGTCTCACACACCATCTAGCCAACATCCTGGTTTCCACAGTCCTTGAACTGCGTTGGCTGCCAGAGCTAGACTCACAAGATTCAAAATGGCTACCATGACTTTTAAATAGGCTTCTCTTGTCACGTTGATGGACATGAGCCACTCCACAAAAAGCAAGTCAGATACGGACAGGACACCAAAACTGACACAGAAGACCATGCATCGGGACCCCGGGCGGCAGCCATGTCTTCTCGTTGACTAGGGGGCCTGTATGTAAGGTACGTACTTCAGTAAGTCAGAGGCAGGCACTGTACTCCTAAATCTCAATCAGGCTCTGTGACCAAAATATACCATGGTAATTGTACCAAGTTATTCTTGGCAAAACATTTCTTCATTATACACTGTTCCATTTAAGTTACAGAATGAACAGGCTTAAACCACACATTTTTCCTCCCTCGTTTTAAAAAGGTGCTTCCCTCACCCTCATAAATGTGTGACTTCTCTGCTTCACCTCGGCTGGCAGCCCGGTTTGAGAGCTCGTTTCTATACGTCTATGTCTTCAGGCTACAACATACGTTGTTCTTGGGCCTGCATTTAAAAGTAAGCCGAATGCCGCTGGACTTTTCCGGAAATCATAGGATCATTCACAACAAACCCCATCAGATTGTAGCTAGCAACTTTACAGAAACTTTCAGAAAAAGAAAAAAATGAAAAGTATTACAAGGTATAGTTTAAGTTTCATAATTTACAGGAATTAAAATAAAAGATTGATGCCTAGTATAGATGGACACACAAAGGGAGGGGGTAGGGTTTTACAATAATAAAAATTCTGAGCTGCTATGTGCCAGGGCTCGTTGGGGCACAAGAAACCCAAGAGCTTCCATTATCATCCCTGTTTTATAAGAAAGGGAACTTGAACCTCCAGAGATCAAATAATTTGGCCAAGACCGCTAAGGCTAAATAAAGACTCAAACATGGATTTTTTTAAGTCTTACATCAAAATAATTTTAAATTTTCCTGTACATTTTAATCTGAAGCTATTCCATATATATTTTTTTGAATGTATAACTTTCCATATATATTTTTTGAATGTATATTCACACTTTTTAGAAGAACAGTGGCGATCTATGCCCTTTTCAGAAACAAAACATTGATAAAAGTCCTCTCTCAAGAGGTCTCTTTTTTCCAAGCAGCAAAGGCTTCCACAGCTGAGGATTGGAAGATGAGTATGAAATGAAAAAATAAAATTTTACGTTAACTAAGGAGCTTTAAGGTTAAAATGTTGTTCTTCTATTCCACTGCTTTACAAAGAATATTGCACTCATGGGAATTTTGTTTCTTTGATATTTAAGCTTCATGGCCATTGTCCTAAATACCAATTATAACTTACAGAGTGCCTCCCAAGGGTCTGGGGTTGGGACATGGTGACCAAGTC